ATAAGGGCCATCCATCTCTGGCAACTCATTAGGCAAATGGACCTTATATCACTTTTAAATATTTAAAAGATTTTTATTGAATTGATATTCAATTATTTTTTGTGAAATTACTCCACTAGTTTGTTATAATTATTAATACAAAGTCAGAAAAAATTCCTTCGATCCGGCCGGATTCGAATCGACGTCTTCTAGCTTACCGTGGCAGACGCTATACCAACTAAGCCACGGAACGAACCCGCGGACCTCACGAATTTTTCTATGTGCTTGCGTCGTGTCTTTGTATTTTGGTTTTTCTCATTTAAATAGTATATTCATAAGTATTGCCGAATTTTGCTTTGGTTACTTTAGATTGCCTGATTATTAGTATATTTTGATGATTGTTGATAACGATTATTTTGAGATAGTGTTGTTCTAGTAAGCAGACATATTATCGATATTCTGTTATTAAAACAATTCACTACGAGGTTTTTATTATTTCATTATTATTTTTTTAAATTTACCTACAAATGAAAAAATAAAGAAAGAATGGTTGGAAATTATAGGACTGCCGAGCATAAACATTGAATCAAATATCCTCTTTAAATACCGTTTGTTCGCTCCATTTTGAAGTCAAATTTTAATAGAACTTTGAATGTAACCAGATTACATGACATGCAATTCCATCGTTACATTTATTGGTAAATATAACTTTATATTTAATTTTGATTAAAATGGCTCATTACTTGCCTAGTAATAATAGCCTAGTATTAATCATACTTTGATTACAGTAAACTATACAAATTTGCAAACATAAAAAACAGTTTCAACATTCAAGCCATACATTTGCATGTCGATATTGACCAATCTATGATTATGGTACAACATTAAATCCGCCATTTGTGGTGGACATTTTTTGTTTATTATTAGGTACGTTTATTCCGTAGATAGAGCAGCTCCTTTCCTTTATTTTTTTCCATCCTCTAAGATCGGAGCGCAGTTTGATTTGGCAGAATAGTTTTCAAACAAATTGACATTTTGTCTCTATTTCTGGTGTGATAGCTAGGTACCGTGTAAAAAATTTTTTCGGGAATTTTAGTTCTTCCTGTCACCGCTAGGAGCGCTGTTCGATTAGTCATAGGCTTAGAGGATGGAAAAAAATAAAGTCATAGGTCAAAACACTTAAGGATTTCGTTGTCAATGTCATGCTTGGTTAGCGAATAGACTATAGATATATTTTTTAATTATATTTGCATATAACAGTGCACAGTAATGTTCCGGATGTTACTTTATTATCTAATTGAACTTGCTAGCTAAATTCTTGTTCATGTTTATGGAACTCCAGGTCTAATTGTTCTAATCGATGTTTTTGTATCAACTGTCTGTTTTATAACTGTTTATTTCCCTTGAATAAAATAAGAAAAGTAGTAAAGCAGCAATCTAATACAGAAGAAGACGCTTATATTGCAAAGTAGCAAATATATATTATTTAAATAATTATCTCATCTCTTAACCACTTGTTTGGACACTTACAGATTAAAACATAACCAAAATGCAAGCAGAATAATAAAATTTGTCAATGATAAAGTTTTTGGAATCTTACAAAATAGATAAAAAAATAAGTATGTGACACCAACTGTATATTCCATTTAACTGATGACAAATACGACAAATTTTTGTTTGATATGAAGAACGATATCCTGCTTTTATTATTTAATTTATTTACCCAGCTTCCCAAAAATTTTACATTTCGAATTGCGTCTCATTATTATTGAGAGTGAGAACTTACCATCCATTTGGCCGTGTACTGTTTATCGCATAAGTGACAGGCAACAGAGGGGAGTATTCTGGGCTCATGCAGCGCTGCACGGTGTTTGTTCAACGTCGAGCGGTAGCTGAACCGTTCCCCGCATATAGAGCATTTGTGTCGACGCAGAGCTGGCTCATGGACCGCTGCATTTTATTCGAAGAATTTAGTACACATTGGAGGAATAGGCCAACGAAAGCGCACCACACAAATCGTTTATTGTGCAGGGAAAATACACAACTTACATTTAACAAAATAAAACACAAAGAAAAGGTTCTGTTTACTTGTAACAGATTTTTTTTCTGCAGACCCCATTTATTTATTTTGGATATTAACTGTGCGTGGTGCAACCTAGGCTTTGTCATTGTTGCTGAACATTCATTATAACAAATTAGGCAGAAATCTACACTTACCTATATGAGATCGATAATTATCTCTCTTCTTAAATGTCTTATGGCATTTCCTACAAACGTAGAGCACTTGATTTTTCTTCTTCTTTACAGTTTCTTTTTCTACAGACACATTCTCTTTATCAAATCTGATTTGAACTGGCTTCTGAATCTTAACAACAACAGGCTCAGCTTCACTTGAAGGTCCTTCAGTAGTATCACTTTCAGAATCATTAGATACACAATCTTCTTTGCCTCCTTCAACAAGTTCAACACCTATATTTAACATGTCTGTCAACTGTTCTGCATCTATTTCACTATTTAAACTTATTATGAATGTGTCATCGTCCTCTGTAGAAATATATTGAACACTATTCTCCCCAATAAGTTGGTTAAGATTAGCCGCTAAATTGGTACTAGCTTCCAAATCCACATCTTTCTCAAATATAGTAGCACATTCGTTCACGGACAATTCGTTAGTTTCGTCTGTTGCAACCTCAGGAACATTAAGCAATTCATCAGGCAAATATTCAGCTTTAACATGGTACAATGCATTCATGATATCCTGATCTATACTTTTGCTTCCTTCAGCAAAATCAAACATAATCTCGGTATTCCTGTCCATATTATAATCAGTTTCGTTAGCATTAAATATGTGGCTAGGATGAAATGTATCAAAATCTATATCGTTATAAAACAGCTCATCGTCTAAAGTATGTAATTGGTTCATCTCTTTGAGAAACTCAATTTGCATTAAATTGTCATTGTTTCCATTCTCATTTGGATTGTAGACGCTTAATATTTCATTTTGTCTGGACATTGTCATGTAATCATCTTCAGCAGATAGAATGTCGTCCACGATGTTGTCTACTGTTTTGTTAATGTCTATATTTGTTATATTTGGTTTTTCCTCTTTCATTATGTTGCTTGGCGGATTTGTGTGTTGTCTGGAAAATCGATCCAAATTAACATAAATGCGGATACGACTGTTGAGTGTTGAGAAAGGTGATCTTATTATTTTACAAGTTTACTGGCTCAACTCCCGGCAAGGGCCTACAGCACCTCGCCTTGTCAAATCCATATGCAAATGGGATCAAAACAGAATCAATACTCGAATCAATAAAATCCACAGCACAAGGATTTCCAAATTTTTCTGTTTTAGTATGAAATTTTTTTTTAGTTTTTTTGTAGTTGTATCCATAAAAGTCAATGGAGTTATATTCAAGAAAAGCAATGAAGTTAACCAATACATCTTGAACTTCAACTTAAGCATTACCAACATACCTAACACAATGTTCAAGTAAAGCACTCTTATACTGGAAAGTCACGCCACAAACTCTACAATAATTTTTCCGCACAGTTTTGTCAATTGGCTCGTGGAGATGACTCTTGTATAGTGCGCAGTTTTTAGTGTGCCGCCTCATTGACGCTATCTGTGAAAAGGACACTTTTTATAGTTGAAGCCCATATTACCGAAGCGTTGTTTCAAGAGCATCGCCTATGTCGTTTTTTCATACACAAACCATTTTTCGTAAATCCAAAAGTTAATAGGCAAAAATAGGCAATGTAATAGGCTCAAACATATTGTATATTAATGTTTGCGTAAATAAAATACTAGGACTGTTCATGTCACATTAATACTTTACTAAAAAACACTAAAGTAGACACATTTGTGCAAAAATCTTTTGTATAGAAAATACGACTGAGACAATTTAATAAAAAATTCAAATTACTTTTCGAATTCCAGATTTCCAGAAATGGTTTCTCTGCATCGTAGGACAAACTATTGACCTAGGAAGTCGAAGTTTGATTTTAAAGTAATTCTAATTGTGCCATGCCATGTAAAAAATGCAAACATACAGTACATAACTGACAGTCGTTTTGCCGTTCCGTCAATGTTACCATCAATATGCGAATCGCGGTGCGGTGTCTAAAGCTAGGGAGGGGCGGAGAGTGACCATTCTCGGTACTTTTTTATTCTCTGCTTTGGTAAAAGGTCTACTGCAAGTTATCTACTGCGCTGAGCAGCTATGACATTAACTCAGGGCTTATATATGAATGCCATCAAGCACTCATGGAGGTATGTACACACAACCACGTAATTCTACAGTGGATTAAAGGACACAGCGGCTCACGTGGCAACGACGCAGCAGACGAACTAGCTAGAAAAGGGTCGGAGACGGATGCTGTAGGGCCAGAACCCATAGTGTCCCTCCCCAACCAATGGTCAAGAACAACTATACTCAAAGGTACAAAATCTTCTCATAATAACATATGGACAACCCTTACGGTTTGTAGACAGGCTAGGGAAGCACTCCCAACGCTCAACGCCAGTCTATCTCGTAAATTAATCAAACTTGAAAGACAAGAGCTGCGCACTCTATCTGCCGTTCTAACGGGTCATGGTCCATACAATAAACACCTTTTCAATTTAGGTATCACGGACAGTCCTCTATGCAGAGCGTGCATGGAGGGGGAGGAAACGGCCGCACACATCCTACTAGAGTGCTCCGGTGTGGCCAACTACAGAGCAAAGTACCTTGGAGTGCCGAGGTCGCTCCCCGAAGTCTTCAGAAAACCGAAGAGGCTGCTGAGATTCCTGGAGGAGCTTGGGTGGCACGAGTAGGACCCTGCACCTACCACACGCAAAATAGGCGCCTCGACGTCGAGTTGCGGAAACTAGCCCGTTGCACCAATACCAATACCAATACCAAGTTATCTACTGCATTTTTTTAAATGGCACCATTAAAATTACTTCGGCTTCCTAGGTCAGTAGTTTTGTCTTACGATGGAGTAATTCTATTTCCGGAAATAGATATTAAAATTTGGTGGTTTTAACGACACTATGTCGCTCATTACATTTATCTATACATGAGGATTAGTAGTAGTATAATATAACAGTAGTAGTAGTAGTAGTAGTAGTAGTATAATGCATTATAACCACAAAGCACCCAGCCTTTTGTGTTATCATGTAAGTGAGACAAGGACAGATAACATTACTTTGCCTCTCAGGGTCGTATTCCAGAACTCTACTCAATGCTCAAGTCAGGATTTGAGCAGACTTGAGTATGATTTCGAGCACTGGAAATACGACCTTAATGGCAAGGACTTGAGTATGATTTCTAGTGCTTTGAATCATACTCAAGTCCTGACTTGAGCATTGAGTAGAGTTCTAGAATACGACCCTTAGATTCGCCGTAGTCATACAAAGTGGGTTATAACCTGTTTAAACCTAGTCCCGCAGCCAGCACAGCAGAAGGGCTTCTCGTTGTTGTGTGTCAACATGTGACGCTTCAGGTTACATTTGTCTTTGAAGTGCATATAGCATAATGTGCATGCATGTTTCTTTACATCTGAAATTAATAAACAGGTGTTAGTTATTTCTAGCCGTTACTATGAGGCCTATGTGAAACATTCTGTTATAGTTATTTATAATTCTTCACAAATTCACCCAATTAAAAATTACTTAAATAAATAATACAGGTCAGCTACTTTGAAAATATCGGGAATTATAATAAATAAAATAAAATGCATTTCGGACAACAACAGATCCATAAAATACTTGTACTACAAAAAAAACTTAAATGAATATTAGTAGTATGTAAACTTAAATGAAGGGAAGACCCAGTGCCTTAGTAGGCCACTGTCCCATGTGTTTGCAACAACTGTCATGAGTCTGTGGCACTAGACGCGCACCCTACGCATCGACGACGCATCGAAACCGTCAACGCTCGCATCCGCGAACTGCAAAGTACAGGAAGTTTTACTATTTAAATTTATTTGCTTGTATTAAGTACTCTGCTCATTGCATTATGAAATTGCTGGGATGTCCCGTAATTTTCAAAATAACGGATCGTGGGTATACCAGGCTTCATAGTAAATATTACAACCTCTTTTACTGATATAAAATAGTCGCACATGTGCTTTGTACAGGAATGCCCATGTATAGCTTCAATTATTTTTGCATCACCATCTGCCAGGTTGGTGAATATACCCAGGGAGCTGGAGTACGAGTAGTTGAATACCCACCCACAATAAATATTAACAAATAGATGTTGAGTTATGGAAAAAAGAGTTTACATATTCATGTATAGATTGGATGTTCTAGGTTAGTTTATAGTAAGGATGAAGGCTTCGATCATACGGATTCTTCATCCCAACAAATTGTTTAAAACTGATGACAGACAAACTTTCCATTAAAACAAGAAAGCATTTTAGTATTCACTAATGATGAAATATGACGAACTCCGTGGTCGAGTGGCTTACACACCAGTGTTCTCGCAATCTCTGAGGTCCCGGGTTCGATTCCCAGCCAAGTTGATGTAGAAAAACAAACTTTTCTATATTGAGTTGGGTCTGGGTGTTTGTGGTAACATCATTGTTTCCAATTTCCATCCACACAAGTGCTTTAGCTACTAACTCTTTGGGATCAGAGCAATGTATGTGATGTTGTTTAATATTTATTGATTGTGAATAAGTAATTTATTTTTTGCTTCTAATAAACCTAAAAAGATATATTATAGGACTCTAAATAAAAAACAATTTTGACAATCTTACCCCAAATATACCTATCATAATATTTGTTAAAACATTTAAAATATTACCAGAATGTGTATCATAATGTTTCTTCAAGTCTGAAGCCTTGTGAAATGATTTTTCACATTCATCACATTTGTGGGGCCTGAAACAAATCTTATTTTATTAGTTCTCTCTTTATGACACAATTATGACAACCTACCTACCTACAATTATAACACATTACAACAATCCTGTGCACTACCTTGACATACCATTTGCTTCATCTACTTTCATCATTCAAATCATACACGCATATTCATTCTTGGTACTTTTGACACGCGTCTTTTAAAAAAATGCAAAGTATGGCAATTTGTCCTTCACATTTTATTCTATCTATGTTGTCAATCTACTAATTATTATCTATCACTACCACTTTTGCATCACTACACCAACCTCTTATTACACTGTTTCTTAATCCTTTTCCTTAAAGAAGTAAGGCCACACATACTGCATAATGTTCTCATTTTAGCAGCATTTGCCCTGGTGTCATACTCATCAGTAGACATCGGAATGGGCAGAGTATATTTACGTAAACTACAAATAATTTACATAGAGTGAACAATACCTCCTGACATCCCAGAAATCTAAACAAAATAGTTATATTTTTACATATAAATTAACAAAAATTCTCTTCTAAAACACATAACTGAGCACAATACAGTAATTCTCAGATCTCTGAGGGAGGTATTATTTGATCTACATGTATTACTTCCTCAAAGTTTAAGTATTTCAATCTCTGTTCATCAGTCATAGTTAGGGTTTAGTCTGGCATAGCCAGATGAATAACCTGATGCACTTTTTTGGCAAAATAGCTTACCGATAATCCAGATGGTTAGCAAACAAGTGTTGCTGGAGTCTCCATAGTGCCTCAAAGGCCATGGTACATTGTGGACATCTCCATACCCTCTCCAGAGGTTTGTGAGTAAGGCTGTGCTTCATCAACTGTTGCTTGGTCGAAAACTTCTGGTTGGGACATTTATCTAGGGAAAAAAATTTATTCACATAGCAATTTAATTTCTATATTAAGAAAATGAACAAAGAAAAAGTGATTTGAAAAGTACTTTTCGTATCATCCAGTACTGTACATTTCTTACATCTTTAGCGAATAACTGGGCAATTTATCACACATGACAAAGATATGCTACATTTGATGCAATGTTAACCATTGTTTTATAACCATGTGGCTATAAAAAGCATATTTCAATTAGAGAATAAATGGCAGGTTGGGGGTTAAATGCTGTACTAAGTAGTAGTAACAGAGTTTTAGCCCTCTTGGCTAATGGCAAGAGGGCTAAAACTCTGTACTCATATGTGAGATCTTACCTCTCACTATAGATACATAGACACAGATAGAGTAGAATAAGTCACAGGGATTTACATTACAAGGCCAACATTGACACGCAAGTGTTACAGGCCTTATTGAAAACAAGAGTTTACAAATAATACCACTCTACAACTAATAGAAAATATAATGTGAAAATAAAGAAATCTAAAACAATCTATCAAATGTTATTCTTCAAAATATAGTACTTAAATTTAAATAACAACAAACATACCACAAATCCAAAGATTATCCTTCGAATGCACTCTTAAATGCCCATAGTACTTCTTAGCATTATCAAACTGTTTCTTACAAATCTCGCAATGCAAGGTCGTCGGGCCATTCAAGTCGGGTTCCTCGAGTGGGCCGTCGGCCGAAAGAAATTGAGCTAGCACATCATCCGCTCCTAGAAGGGATCCCGTCGACGGTAAGCTACCTGGCAAACCATCGTACACACATTCCTGAGTCTTCTCCGAGTCCACAAACTATATTAACAAATAGATAAATTAGTTGAAAGTAATGGTAACGTTACTTTATGTAAAGAAGGAAATGTTCTTTGGAATTGCGACACTTACTGGAAGACTGAAAAATGATAAATTGGATTCCATGGTATCCGTTTGAAGTTAATATTATCCTTATTTATTCATTTTGTTGCGAAAATCGAATGAATTTCTATTCCAATATTAAGATTCTGGCGACTCTTGAAAAACTATAATAGAATGAAATTAGAAAATAAATATGACAACCTGACAATCATGCCATCTGTCAATGTTGCCATATTTGTCAACACATCAGCGTTGCCAATGCCAATTGTTCAAAAGTCAGTTAAAATCCCCAAATTTGGGGAGAGCAAAGCTCATATTCCCCACATCTCGAGTTTTCATTTTTCTTCTTCTTCTTCTTTCATTATTTATTAGAAATACATCGCTTAAAAATATAATAAAGAATTAAGAAACTCAAAATGTAACCATCCATTTATTACGTTTGCTGTGAATGTAAACAGAATGAAAAATATTAAACTAATTATAAAATTAGATGACCTTAAATCATTTATTTGTTATAATTAGATTCAACATTAATCAGTCTTTGAATAAAAAACATTTTTCTTTGCCTTACAAAATTAAGTAAATTGATTATTTGTTGTGCATTATGTTAATGTTAGAAATAATCAATGAGTTTCGACCTATATTTAAAATTTATGAGTGGTAAGTTGTGGTGTGGAAATACCAATTGCTCGGCTTTGTTTATCAATAGCTCATTTCGTTTTGCTTCATATCGGGGATCGGGGCCTAAGCGGGAGAAAGAATCGCGAACTCAACACGCACCGACTGGTAATTTTACAATTCCGAACCAAGTGCTGATAATAATTCTATTTAAACTGCTTGTTAATAATACGAGGGATGTGCGATGTTGAAAAAAACGTCGATATAGTCCATCACAGTGTTTCTAACAATAACGATCAAACTAGCGATGCATCAGTAATTGATAGATTAAACAAAATGTTAGAATCCCCACATTTTCCCCACATAGCGCCAATCTCCACAAAATCCCCAGTCTAGTTGAAATTCCCCGCAATTTGGGGAATTACCAACAAATTGGCGACTCTGCAACACACACACACACACACACACACACACACACACACACACACACACACA